CAACTTACCAAGGATGGTGATATAAGTGAAAGATTCTCTTGAAGCCCTTCTAAATTTTCGAGATTTTGAGGAAGGTAAGGAGATGTTCTTGAAGATTTAGAGAGCGTTTGAAGTGTTTTGTGTGTGTGTGTGTTGATTCTCGGCCGCAAGTAATAAGAAGAAGGAGAAGAGAGAGACGAGTGCATGGGAACATGAGATTTGTCTTGGATGTATGTTGGATAATCCCATAATTAACCCCTAAACAACAATGAGGTGTCATGGGCATTTATTCATTTCTTCTCTTTTTTTTTATTTCCTACTTGGGCCGAAATGGGCTAAGGAAGGAGGAAGGAATCACTTTGGCCCATTCTTGCCTTGGCTCGAGTTCATGAGGCCCATAAGGAAAACTTACGTCCCATTGGGCCCTTAGGGTAGCTCACATCCCAATTTTTGTATAAGAGAATGGATTCGAGTCCATTAAAGCTAATTGGATTAGTTATGGCCCAATAAGGCCCATTAAAGATAAACTAGTCCATTTTAGGCTTATAAGGCCCAAAAAGGTTAAGTCTCATGAGAGTGGGTCCAATGAGAGCCCATTTAAGAGTTCTAAGCCCAAAATAGTCAAATTGGAAGCTTATTGGCCCATTAGGCCCAATAAGGAAATCCTAGTCCATATAGGACTTAAACCGGGATTTCTAGGGTTTCCAACCTTTTGTTGACTATTTGAGTGTTTGTATAGAGTGTTTGATGGAATTTTGTTGTCATTGAATAAGCATCATACATGCTTTCAAGTTGTAGTTACAATGTTATTCTTGTTAAGTGTTTACAAAGCATCAGAATTCCTAGTTGTGACAGAACAGCATGCTAGTGCTAGGCTAGGGATCTTCGGGAATTGCATGATAGAATTTCCTAATTACATGATGCCTGCCAGCCTAGGGTTTCCTTTATATGAGATTGACATCATTACTGTAGTTGCTTAGTGTATGCATCACGGTTATACATAATTAAGATCTTATAGCCTGAGAATGTTTGATTTGGCCTTATGTTCTGTTCTTGTTTGATTGGGAGCTTAGGGTAGGGTTGGATATTCGAAAGTCTATAGGGTCCAGCGTTATGTATGGCTAGCATACACTAATGTTGCAGGGTTGGTGGTAGTTTCATGGATGGGTGGGTTGTGTGAGGCCGGGAGGCCAGTTATGATATATTTAGCATTCCTCTATGAGTGAGGATTGAGCGCTCGTTATGTTATGTATATTGTTAGGATGTTGTGGTGATACTTGAGACAAATATAGGTAAGTGTGGAAGGTAGTATGGGCCCGTACTACTGAAAGCACATGACCCATACGCGTATCAAGGAAGTCACAACCCCTAGGGTTGGGTTGGGAGTTGGTTCCCTGTCTCTATATGGGTTATCAATGATCCTTCTGGTGTTTTACCAGAATAGTGGTCACGAGACGTCTTGAGATCGGATCCAGGCTAGGATCGGGAGCTGGCAGCCAGGATAGGCCAGCATTGTCAGAGGACTGTGTCAGTGAGATCATCCGGGAGGAGGTGATCGAGTTTGTCTGGGGACAGTTTCCGGGGATGTTTCGGTCTATTAAGACCGCCATGGTTGAGTATTTTGACGAGCGTTATGCAGCCATTGCCGAGACGGTTGCCGCGACAGCTATATCAGCTGTAACGACGGCAAGGGGAAGAGCTGGTCGAGCTTTTTAGTACCGGGACTTGTTACTGGGACATATTCTGACGAGCAGAGGGCTGCAGTTACTTGGGATCAGGGAGATGTTCTGTACTTGTTACATTCAATGGGTTAAGCTGGAGAGTCTAGCACATGCGTTTTTAGATTTGAGGCTTCGGGGGTTTTGCTCGAGGCCTGAATATGAGTCGCGGGGACTCCGGAAAGGAGTAATGATTATGTTCAGCTGGAGTTATGCAGCTGGAATTAGAATGGCTAATTGATATGATTGGAATTTTGTTTTCTAGGACAAGGAATGTGCCCTTTCAGTTTACGAGCTCGAAGGATAGAGCAGGCTTGTGACCCCAGGATCAGGTTGTATTCTAGCTCGTGGTTAGTTGGTCACCGGGATTGACGACAGTAGTTTAGCGCTGGTAAGCGTGGGTGGGTCTATGGGGCATAAGTATTTTGGAGGTCCATTTCGCCTTGGATCTCTTGTATCGGACGGTAAGGATTGATTGTGCGATCTATTGCACTTTCGATATTGAAGACTATGTCTTGGGAGTAGTTTGTATCCCGGTTTAGGGCAGAGGCTGTTTCAGCTACTACAGTTTAGCTATGGACGATTGAGATGGTGAGTGAGTCAGGGTGCGAACCCTGAATGATATGATTTCTAGAGCCGAGAGCGGGAGATTTGTTGGAGCACTTTGGGAAGAAGGGTATTATGTGGGAGGTCTGCCCCATAGGATGGTTATTCACCATTTTCAGGATTCAGTGGTTCAGTAACCGTTATTGGTTAGCGGAGGAAAACGCCAAGGGAAGTAGCTCGTTGTTGAGACACTAGTTGGAGCATCTATCTTTGGACTTCAAGATTTGGGTGTGGGATCATTCGAGCATTAGGGACTGGATGATTCCCTGGGATTCAGGAAGTGTTCATCTAGTTATTAGAAGCGTGTGATGATTTGGGGTTGGCTAGTAAAGGAGTACTAGTTGGAAAGGTCTGATTGTCATCAGATCGATCGTTTGAAAGTAAGAAGGATTGGGAATTCTCCAACTTTCATGTATTGTGAAGACTTAGTTGAATCTAAGTGGGGGATAATCGACCCAAAATGCAGAAGCAGGATCAGTTTTGAAAATGGGATAAGTTTCGCATCGTTGTCAGGAAGGAAGACAACCCAAGTGGCTGTTGGGGTTGAGGGTTGTGTGAGTTGGGAGTTCGGTAAAACTCCCCATCATGGAAATTGCGTCTTCTCGGTGCTTGATAGCAGAAATTGGGGAAATCAAGTTGGGATTCTAGCCATGAATTAAGTTCATTTATGTGTTAGGTCGAGTGCGTGTTCGACCTGTATGGGAAGTGTTGTAAGACTACGGGGTAGCCTTAGCATTCACTAGCGATCAGTTAGTATGGGAAGTGTTGTAAGATTGCGGGGGTGGCCGTAACATTCACTAGCAATCATGTAGTATGGAAAGTGTTGTAAGACTGTGGGGGTAGCCGTAGCATTCATTAGCAGTAGATAGTGCTAGAGTGCTGTGAGACTGCTAGTGTAGCAGTAGCATTTACTAGATTCGTAGATGGCATTAGCGCGATGTTAGGATGCGGAAGGGACAATAGTAGCCACCAGTTCGGGTGTAGCAGTGAGAATATGGAAATCCACGGATTGGTTTATGGGCTTCCCAGAGGGATTAGACCTGATTAAGCCAGTGGTAAGACTGTAGGAACGTCACTACAGTTATGAGATCAAGGAAGCAATGGATTGCTTATGGTTGCTTGTGATGTAAGGCTACCATTGGTTATGTAGCAATTGCTTTTAGCTGTGGATTTGGTAACGACGGGATACGACGCATGGATCCGATCAGTTGGATCAGGAGGTTGTTAGAGTCGCGGTGGCATGATAACTAGTGGCAACTAGTTCCAGGGAAGGATTTCGTTCGGAAGTCGTGTGAGGCAACTATGTGGGAGACCTTTAGCTCCGCGACCGGGCCGGACCCCGGTATTTTGGATGAGTGTCACTCGGTTGTGGCGAATCAGAGAAATTTTTGGATGAGATGCAAGGATAGGTCCTTGGATTTCAAGTTATGGGTTAGACCCGAGTTATGTATATAGTGGTATTCCAATCTAGGGTATTCCATCATGAGGATGACCGAACCCTACGATTGAGTGGACCTGACGTGTTTGGTATTCCAACCCGAGGGTTGATTTGACCAAACATGTGTGTGATACGAGGGTATTCCATCCTAGGGATGACTGGACCCGTCGTAGGCATGCCTGGTATTCCAGCCCGAGGCTGATTGGGCCAGGTATGAGTATTTGTTCTTATGAGTCGGTTATTATATGTATGTGGTTCGGGAACTAAAGGATCATAGTTAGCAGTGTGGGATTTGTGATTCTATTTTCTAGTGGGAACCTCAGGTTATCAGAAGTTGAGTAGCCAGTTGGGAGTTAAGTGCAATGCATTCGACAATGATCCAGTGTGGGCAGTCTGTCAGGGAGCCAGACCATCTCGAGACTTCAGATTTTAGATTGAGTAAATGTGATTATATTGCAAGGGATTTGTTTATTTTCAGGTCTTGGAACCCTGTGAGGGTTAGTTGTGGTTACCTTGGAAAGGCTGGGGATATGCTCGTAGTTGTGGCCGTGTTGCTCAAGTTGTCTGGCGTGTAAGGAATGATAAGAAACGATTTCGAGGACAAAATCAAATTTAAGTGGGGGAGAGTTGTAACATCCCGTTTTAAATAAAATACTTAAATGATAAACCTGGAACCCCGAGAAGTAATTTTTATTATTATTTTATGTTGTTATAGCCAAAATCAAATAATAATTAGCGGGGTGTTGGTTTCGGGAAGCCAAATGTCATGATTTAGAGTCTCAGGGGTTAAAATGTAATTTCGGGATTTGTTTGAAAAGGATTTCAAATGTTAGGGTGTGTTTGGTAAATATTGTACCGAAATTGTAATGAATTATGAGAGATGGGGGTAATTTGGTAAGTATTGGATCAAAGTTGAAAGGATTTTATGGAGTCAGGGGTTAAATGGTAATTTTGGGGTTTAATATGAAAGGAAAGGAGAAGGAGGGGCGGGTTTTGTCAATATGGATAATAGTTTTGAAGGGAGCGGTATAAACTGTTGCATTGCCCGTAACCCTAAACCTAATTCCTTTACATCAGCCGCAACCCACCTTATGCCTCCCTCTTCAACCTCCAGCCACCACCTTAAGCTTCAGCCTCAATTGTCGCCACCTTCCTCCGCTGTCAAGGCCGTGAACCACCACAGCGATGTCGCCACAGTGAATACCTACGAAACCAAGACTTAGTCGCTGGCGTCTTGAAGATCGGGTGAACCAAGAGCCATGGCCGTTGTGGTCATTCTTCCGGTGGGGGTGCGACCACCACAGTGGAAGATGAAGAGCCACCATGTCGCCTGCAGCTTCGCCGTCGGAACGCTACCACCCCTACTGCCGCCAGTGACGTCGTGTACACAGCCAGGGTCTTCGCGTGAGTCGCCGGAAAAATCATTTGGTGAGGCTGCTGTCGCTGTATTCGGTGGTTTCGCAAACCACTATCTCCCATTCTCGTTCACTTCATGATGCCATTGCTCCATTGTTCTCTCCAGCGATTTGTTCTGCCCATTTCTGTCGCCGCCGTGCGACTGTGCCGCCGATAGCCGCTGACCGCAGCTGCTGCCCGCCTCCTTGTGTCACCGCCGTTGCACGCCGTGAGGTGGGTGGCTGGGTTTATTTTGCAACAGAAGAGCATGCGAGGGTGTGGTTTCTTGGTCGGATTTCACTAGAGGGCAACCACCACCACCATGAGGTGGTGGCTAGCACCTCCGGCCACCACCTGCCGCCACAGTGCGTCTGTGTGTGTGTGCGTGAGTGTGTGTTACTTTGATTTTTTTTTTAGCATTATAATTATAACAAAAGTGGTATAATGAAGAGAAAACCCCAAACCACCACCGTAGAGTGATGCCTACCGCCTCCTGCCACCACCGGCCGCTGTGTCAAGTGGCGGTGTGTCTCGTTTGCATTTTTGGACTCGTTTGAGGAATGATTGGCCAAAGTGGGCCCAATGAAGCCCTAATGGGCCCAAGCAAACCATAATTGATCTTATAAAACCCTAATGGGCCCAATAAGGCCCAATATGACCTAAAATCCCATTCAATGGACTAATGGGCTAGTATTGGGTTGGAAAACCCTAATTAGGGTTTGGAAAACCCTAATAGCATAAAACCCTAATTCTTGAGAAGTAATCGGCACACACACGAGATTATTTAATAACTTGAAATATTAAATAATAATTATTAGCAAATTAACCTAAGGCAATATTGGACTTAATGAATTAAGTCCTTAATGGGTTAAGTAGGAACACTTAACCCTAGCCGTCATTTCATGTGAAAACCCTAATTTCACTTGGGCTTTGGGTTGGGCCTTCCTAGTGGGCTTTGGTGATTGGACTATTGATGGGTTGTCCAAGAACAAGCTAATGGACCAAAATAAGTAGATGGGCTTTAGGATAAGGCCTATGTGAGGACTTAGGCCCAATTTGGAAAATTGGGCCATAATTAAGCCTTTATGACTATGTGATAATGGGCCATGGGAATTGGATTGGAATAATCGAATGGGCCTTAAGGAAAGACCATGTAGAGGTCTAGGCCTAATTTGGAAAATTGGGCCATATGTTGGATTTTGGCCCATTATTTTACTTTTGGGCTTTTGTGGTGTGAGTTGGACCTTGGGCTTAGAACCCAATTATTAATTGGGTATTGTTTGATGTTGACAGTTCGGGAATCTGTCAACCAGCAGCTGGAGTTTTATCTGCGGGACTTCAGCAATGTCAGGTGAGTTATCCTCACTATACTCAAGGGTCTAAGGCACCAATGTCGGCCCTTTGAATTGTTATTGGTTATGTTATGCTAGTATGATCTGTTAGTTAGATATCCTAGAGGGTAGGATATAATATTATACGTTATGTGGTATGATCTGGTAGATCAGTTTGTTGTCTATAGACTGTTATGTGATTATCTGTTATATGTGCACGTGTTTGTTTGGTGGTTGAGGCTTATCTGCTTTGTGCGAAAGCCAATAGACCTGGGCATTCCAACCTGTTGGTTGTGGGCCGTGAGTATTCCATCCCGAGGATGATTGGACTCGTAGTGTGTTGGCATTCCAACCTGTTGGTTGAGGGCCTGGGGTATTCCAACCTGATGGTTGATTGGACCCATAGTGTGTTGGCGTTCCAACCTGTTGGTTGAGGGCCTGGGGTATTCCAACCTGATGGTTGATTGGACCCATAGTGTGTTGGCATTCCAACCTGCTGGTTGAGGGCTTGGGGTATTCCAACTTGATGGTTGATTGGACCCATAGTGTGTTGGCATTCTAACCTGCTGGTTGAGGGCCTGGGGTATTCCAACTCGATGTTTGATTGGACCCATAGTATGCTGTCTATGATTATATGTGTATTGTTGTGGGTATGGGTATTTTGGGGGAACTCACTAAGCTTTCGGGCTTACAGTTTCAGTTTATTGTTTAAGGTGCATCAGGGGATCGTGGCAAGGCAAAGGCGTGATCATACAGCTCCTCACTTTTTATGACTTTGTTTATGAGATACTCTGATATGATACATTTTGAAAACAAGCTTTGTAATGGTTAATAGATTTGAAATGTTTTTAAAAGTTTAAAATTGGTATGATTTTTATGGGTGTTACAGAAAAGGATTTACTCAAACCCAAGGGGTTGACTATGATGAGATCTTTTCACCAGTGACTAAGATCAAATTGATCATGATAATGCTTTCCATAACAGCCTTTTATGATTATGTGGTATGGCAAATGGATGTTAAAACCACTTTCCTAAACGCAAAGCTTACTGAGGACGTCTACATGAGTCGGTAGGGATGTCAAAACTTCCGTGGGACCCCGATTCCGTACGAGATTAATATTTTTAAAAATTCGGAAGCGAGAGGGGGGGGGGGGATTAAACCCCGTTTTATTTTCGGGATCGGGGTCGGGAGTGGGTATTTCTGTCCCCGTACTCCTACGGGGGCCCGTTTGTATATATATATATATATATATATATATATATATATATATATATATATATATATATATATATATAGGTTTAGGTTCTATGGAAAACAAAAAAACCCTAAAAATAATAAAAATGCATAAAAAAAATACTTAGAGATCACAAAACTTTTTTTTGAATTTTTTTATCAAAAAATCGCAGCTTTTAACATAAAATCGCTGAAATTTTTTTTGAAATAACCCTTCCATATATATATATATATATATATATATATATATATATATATATATATATATTCTTAATAAAAGCACCTGCCACGTGTCATCTTATAAACATTATCTATTACCACGTCTCATTCAACCATCCATCTACTCTCTATTTTTCCCGCCCATTGACTCACAACATCCATCCACATTTAGCTTCCTAAATATCAGCATTTTCGTTGTCACTATTTGAATTAATTTGAATTAATATCGTATCATTTCATTTGATTTAATATACGGAAATCATTATCTTAAAATCAACAATACATCTTCTTCTTCCTTCATTACTATTATCGCACCTCCACAACTTTCATCCTAATCTCCTTTTATCTCTCTCCGATAACCCACCATTTCCCTTATCTCAAGTCTCAATCCAGACTTTCAAAAACTTTATTCAGTGTATCGTCGTTCTACTCCGCCACCAATTCTGTTGTCTCGGGCCATACATTGGCTCGGTCTTATGATTATAGATAGGGCTTATTTGAATAAGTTGAGGATGTTTTCATTTTGAGATTTTTATTTATTCTTCTAATTAGGGATTTCCCATGTTCATCATATTTCTAATCCACTCCATCAATGTCGTTTTTGGTCAGCTAGGGTTCGTCATCCCCTTACTCAGTTTCTCTGTCGGTTTGCGATGGTTGTTCACCATCTGTCGGTTTGATGTGATTTTTGTGTTTGCAGTTTGCGAATGAAAGGTGAGGTGAAGTGGCTATAGGTTCTTGCTTACGGGTAACATGATTTACTTTGGGATGTTTATATTGTGTTTTCCATGGAACTTATTTAGGTTTATTTTAAGTTTTATTTGGGAATTTGCTCATCTTTTGTAATTGATGATGCAGGGATGTTGGCTTCAATTCATGGAGAATATAAGTTAAAACTTATGGTTTACACAAGATGTACGAAATCTCGGCCCATTCTTTTTATTTAAATTTTATTTTTTTGTAGATAGGAACCACAACTGCACCACATCAATTATGTTTTGTATTAGCAAACCTTTTTTATAACCTTTGTTGCTGATCTGGGTCAAAATTGTATCTTTTATTTTCTTACTTTTTCAGGGTTATAAGATTCCAAAAGATTTCCTTGTGAAATTCATGGGATTACAATTCCAAAAGATTTCTATGCTTGATGTTGTGAAAACATGAGCATATGGACTTCCTTGTGCAATTCACAGGTCGATTTTAGTTTAACAGCATTACATCAGTAGTAGTATTTACTAATAATGTTATTGTTTGTGTAATATGTTGGTCCTGATATTATTTTGCAGGTTCATTTTTGTGGATTAGTTTTGATCAGATGTCTTATGTTATTAATTTTGAGTTTGGTGTAATATGTAGTCATAGTAGATTTATTGGTATTTTTAAAAACCATTAGAGTTACTAAAATTGGAAAAATATATTATACTTTGAAAACTTGAATATATATAATTCACCTTGTGATTCCAATCATCATAAAGCTTCTCACAAACAGGAAGAGAAGGATTGAATTTGATTGTTGTGTACCGGTAATGGAGTCTAATGTAGTCAATGTTATAGAGCATGAATCAAGAGCCATGCATATTATTTTCTGCAGTTATGGTGTTTCGTTTGGAACTAAGATGAGCACTAACTACCATTTTTTTTTGTTTATAACATTTTTGTGTATGAACGCTTTATCTTTTTAGGGAACATGACACTTAACACACCTTCTAAGAGGCCTCTAACAAAAATGAAGATTAATTGGTCCCTAACTTATTTCTTATATAATTAATATTATTAATTATATAAAAATGTCAGCAACAAGTTTCATATTCATGCTTTGACAATTATACAAGCGGCAGACATTTGGAACCATTTTATGATGTTTTCAAATACACCCTTTGGAGATTGTTGAAGATTGGGAAATAGTGTCTCATAAATTATAATACTTAATGGTAGATATCAAGTTTCTCCTTTTCCCGGTAACTATTTTTTGAACGATTTATATTCTCGAATGTTTTTTTTAACATGGTTACCCTTCTTTAAATCATACAAATTATTTCAGGCGGAAACCACATGTGAAGTTTGCCCTCTCAAATCCACATCGTGCACATGGAGACACAATTGGGGTGAAATAGCAAATGCATTTTCCAGAAGGTGATTGTTTACATTCTGTATCTTTTGTTTAAAGGTAGGTTAGTTATAACTGTAATAAAGAATTAGGTAGGCATCCATTCAAAACCCACCTCTCTTCTTCAAGAAACTTACAACAAGATTATATTAATTTAAAATAACCATGATACAATTACAATTAACATATGAATTTTTTTTTATAAAAATAAATCTATACAAATCTATGATTAATGATTATTATCTTAATACTCTATGTTATTTTACTTTTAGCCGTGGATTCCACGGGTTATAACCTAGTATATATATATATATATATATATATATATATATATATATATATATACACACAATTAGGGTTTTGCAGCTTCGCTAGTCACTCCACTTATTTGCGATTTCTACTAAATGACCGCCAAATCCAAAATTCCATTCGTTCTTTCACTTTGTCTTTACAATCACATACTCATAAATCAAAAATCAACAACTTCACAAATCAAATGCCCTCTCTAGCCCCTAGCAATCGATCGACAAAAATGGTCCAAGACGCAAGACCACGAACGGAACGATGAGTCGACGAACAGATTACATGCTGATTTCTCCTGCACCATCCGTCTTCACCGTCTACTCCCTTCCACCAGTCGTCGTCCACTATCGACGACATACATTCCTCTACCAGCGTCGGTCAACCGTTCTTCCTATCGATTAACTTGTAGACGGTAATCATTTTTTTCTGAAATTAGATTGGTTATGCTTTTTTTGTTTTTTAAAACCAGATTGGTCATTTGTTAGTGTCGCTTGCCATGTAGTATGGATTTAACCTTTTGATTACATTAAATATTCTTGACTGTGATTTGTATTTTCTAATTACATTACATATTCTTGACTAGAATGATTACTTACATATTGAATATATTGTTTTGTGTCATCTATGTTGTTTTGTTGGATCTTTTTGTGGTATGTAGTTTGATTGCTATATTCTTGATTAGAATGATTACTTACAATTCTTGATAGAATGTGTAAGCTTGAGAAATTAATCTCGTTGATATCCCTATGAGTCAACCATTACATATTCTTGATTAGAATGATTACTTACAATTTCCTACCACGTTTTCTCCCGTTGACATCCCTATGAGTCAACCATAAGGTTTTCTACATGTAAAATTTCCTGATAGAATGTGTAAGCTTGAGAAATTCATCTATGGATTGAAACAAGCATCTCGCAGCTGAATCTTTTCTTCAAAAAAAAAAATTCAAAGAGTTTGGATTCTCTAGGACTGAGGATGAGTCATGTATGTCAAACCTATTGGGAGTATAGTAACTTTCCTAATGTTGTATGTTGATGACATACTCCTTATAGGAAACAACATTCTAACCTTGAAAGTAGTAAAATCTTGGCTTGGGAAGCATTTTTCTATGAAGGATCTAGGGGAAGCGACCTATATTCTTGGTATAAGAATTTCCAGGGATAGAAAAAAACGTCTTAGTGGTCTTAGCCAGAGTACATACTTAGATAAAATATTGAAACATTTTAGTATGGAATATTCCAAGAAAGGGGATTGCCCATTCATCATATTGTTAAATTAATTAACACTAAAAATCTCAGTACTGCTAAAGAAATAGATGACATGAGTCAAGTTCCATATGCTTTGGCTATAGGATCGATCATATATGCTATGACATGTACTCGCCCTGATGTATCTTAAGCTTTGAGCATGGTTTGTCAGTTCCGGGGAAATCCTGGCAAAACCCACTGGACTGAGTCAAGAATATTCTTATGTATTTGCGAAGAACAAAAGACATGTTTCTAGTTCTTGGCGGCAATGATAAATTAAGAGTGAGTGGTTATAGTGATGCCATCTTTCGAACAGACCGAAACAACTTCTGTTGTGACATCCCCCATTTTTCAGAACCAATTAAAACTTTTTCTTTACGATTTAATAGATTGAAATGAAGAAATACCCAGTTAAATAAAACATTTTTGGAGATAACAGAAGTTATTTTATTTTATTAAAACTTCGAGGATACCATCGTTCATATCCAAACATACATTACATCATAAATATTAAAAGGTCCTGAAATACTATAACAGTCACATCTCTTTACTTCACTCAGCATCCTAACTAGACTTCGGCAGCCTTACATCCGCTACCTGTGATGCACATAAAATGAGTGGCTCGGTTTTGGGAAACCTGGTGAGATGGATAGGGTTTTCAAGCCCATAATATATTAATGATAATACATAATAACGTTCCTGTAAGCAATCAATATAGGTATAATCTGATATAAGACCACCTACCCTGCCCAATCGATTCTCACAAATCCTAAAGCAATGATTATCTAGAGGAATCGCTCAACGTGATAAACCGTTTAAGCAACTGCTTGACTACACAGCTAGGGGAGTCATTGGCCAGTGTAAGACATATAAATGCAACCAATGTTCAGAGTAATTGATATATATGGTATCCCATTCTACCTATGTTTGTGGTTTATAAGTCTACACAAGCAACGTAATTCACTAGACCGCCTAGAATAGTCAAGTGTTGTCATCTACTTTGGTCGATGACCCAGACATACTTGCTAGTTGTCTGATCTGGACCCACCATATTTGTTCATCCAATAAAGAGGAGGACTACTACACTCCGCTCTGATCACACACTCTACCCTTAAGTCCATAACTAACCCAGACTATATCTAAAGGCAATCTTGATTCTAACATAGTTCCTAATATACAATCCTATTATAGTTATTCAAGTAGAACAGAGTATGATTAATACGATTAGCATTTAATAAATACTTTTATTAAATTATGCTCTTGAAAGTAACTAAACACCTACCTGACACAAGTAGGTGATTCAAAGTTAGGGAAACGCTTCGCTATAACACTTTTCCTTTCGAAACACCTATAATTAAATGGTACTAAGTCTTAGTCTAGTTTCATATTCTTTGTGACTATAATGATAGTCTAGATTCCTCAGTAATCCCAACGAACACCGATAGTTCTATTAAATAAGGATCAGCCGGACAGGAAAGTTGGGAGGTAAGACCATTTCGGCGTATACCCTTTCTGAAATCCCACAACCAAGCCAACGTGGCCATTCTACACACCACTTCGGTAAGTAGATCAATCGGTATAACGACATTGAATTACTAATATAACTTATTTATAGATTGATAACAACGACTATGACTATAAATGTAAATTACACTAGAATAAGGATGAGTGTAATTTAACTTACAGAGAATTCCTAGAAAAAAGTCCGGAAATTGCACTGGCAGGGCTTCTGCTGGATAATTACTAATTGCCGAGCACTTACGGATCTCAAGGCTTCACGCAAAGCTGGAAAACTCTAGGGAAAAGGGGCTACAGGGGGGAAATCTTTGAGAGAATGGTTGTAGGGGCAATTAGTGAAGAGCTTATACGATTTGAGGCCTATTTATAGTGTTTTTGAAAAGCGTTATGCGCCTGGTGACGTGGCACCATAGATTAGTCGATACGTGTCCAATAATGGGTGGGGTTGCGGGGCTGCTTCTAGAACTCTGTGCGCGTATCGGTTTTCAAAATTTCCAAATTGTGTAACTTCTTCATACGAACTCGGTTTTTGATGTTCTTTATATTCACACGTAGTTATCGACGAGATCTACAACTTTGATTTAAACTCCATCAGCTAATTTTCACTTTATTTATTTCACACAAGCTTAGATTGTTAAAGCCCGTATAATATGCATATCTTTCTCATCTGGTGTCCGTTTTCGAATGTCTTTATATCGTTGGACTCCTATTAGCGATATATTCAATTATTGTTTGATTGTTTTGGCTAAAGTTCGATCGATCTAAAATTTGATTTCTGTGCTAACACTGTTGTACTGAAACTTCGAAAAATGGTAACTTCCTCATATGAAGTCATATTTGGGCGTTTTCTATATGCACACTCTCGGTTTTACAATTACTATGACTTTCATTAAGATTGCTTAGGCTAATAAGCGACTTATCTAAAATTCACTTTTTATGACATCCGAGCCAAAAAGGACTTAAAGTGAAACTTCAATGCATCATAACGTCTTCGTTCTAGGTCTTATTTGAGTGTTCCTTATATCTCCATAATCCTCATTTCGACTATATCATCTATCATTAAGGTTATTCTTCGAAATTATTATTCTATTTTGATGCGTGTTTTAATCTTATTTATTATATTATCAATTATGTATAAAACACTTAAGCACATAAATACATGAATAATCCTTTCCTATTCATTCATAAAAAGATTACAATAGTGGATCAAAGTGATTATAGA